ACTGCCAGAAGAATTGTTCGAATTACAAAAAAAAAACACAGGTAACCTCAGGAGCAATACAGGCTGCTCTGGAAAAAGACGGTGAGGTTGTTTTAAGGAGTACAATACGACGATACTTCAACAAAAATGAGCTGCATGGTCAAGTTGCCAGAAAGAAGCCTTTAATGCGCCAATTCCACACAAAAAAGCCCGGTTACAATGTGGTCCAACAACATCTTGACACGGCTCACAGCTTCTGGCACAGTGGAATTTGGAGTGACGAGACCAAAATAGAGCTTATTGGTCACAACCATACGTGCTAGGTTTGGAGAGGGGCCAACAGGGCCCATAGTGACAAGCATACCATCCCCACTGTGAAGCATGGTGGTGGCTCACTGATGTTTTGGGGGGAGTGTGAGCTCTAAAGGCAAGTGGAATCTTGTCAAAATTGATGGCAAGATGAATGCAGCATGCTATCAGAAAATGCTGGCAGACAATTTGCATTCTTCTGCAGAAAAACTGCGCTTGGGGCGCTCTTGGACTTTCCAGCACAACAATGGCCCTAAGCACAAGGCTAAGGTGACCCTCTAGTGGTTACAACAGAAAAAGGTGAAAGTTCTGGAGTGGCCATCACAGACTCCCGACCTTAATATCATCGAGCTACTCTGGGGAGATCTCAAACGTGCAGTTCATGCAAGACGACCAAAGACTTTGCATGACTTAGAGGCATTTTGTTGAAGCTAATGGGCAGCTATATCACCTGCAAGAATTTGGGGCCTCATAGACAACTATTACAAAAGACTGCATGCTGTCATTGGTGCTAAACACTGTATTTAAGAACTAAGGGTATGCAGACTTTTGAACAGGGGTCATTTCACTTTTTAATTTGTTGCCATGTTTTAATGATTGTGCCATTCTGTTATGACCTACAGTTGAATATGAATCCCATAAGAAATAAAAGAAACGTGCTTTGCCTACTCACTCATGTTTTTCTTTAAATATGGTACATATATTACCAATTCTTCAGGCTGGGTTCACACCTGAGCGTTTTTCAGCGCTGATCGAAGCACTGAAAAACGCTCAGCAAGTGAAATCACATGAATCCATATGTGCATTGTTCCCATCTGGGTGTATTTCAGCCCGTGGAAACGCGCTGAAAAGCGCCCTACGCCCAAACAAGTACAGGAGCTTCTTTGGGGCGTTTTTCCTCGCTCATACATTGGTATTCCCGAGTGTGGCTCGGGGTTAACAAAGCGGTAACCCCTAGACCCCTGATATTTCCCTTTTAAAATAGAAAAAGAGATTGAGAACACAGAGTCCTCAATCTCTTTTTCTGTGTCCCCTGTTATCAATGAACAGGAATCCTCTATGAGTGTTCCTGTTCATTGATAACATGAGTACATGGCATGTTTACTATAACTACAATTATGAATGAATGGGGGTGATGTAGATCGCTGTCACAAGAGGCTGATCGAGCCGTGTAGAGAGGAAAGCCCAGGCTCCTGTGACAGCGATGTCTCCGCCCACACACCGCTCTGCGGACTGTGATAGGCGGCTGAGCGGTGTGGGAGGAGAGATGCCGCAGCTCAAAGCGCTCTCGTCCTGACTCCTGCAGCGCTCGGCGGCTGTCACTTTCTTTTCTCCCCGCTGGAAAAGCGCCCAGCGGGGAGAAAAGAAACCAGGGATGACCCGATGTATCGGCCGAAACATGGCTCTTTCGGCATTATGCCAAAAGTGCCATTTTCGGCCGATATGTTTCGGCGGCCGATATATCGGTGCATCCCTAATAGATACACAATATATCTATCTATAAATATGTATAATGAGTTAATGACACATGCATAAGGGCTTTTATTCACTCCAAATGCAGACAAGATCTGCATGAGTTTCTGCACATGCAGTGTGTTTTGCCGCGTTCCGGGCCTTTTTTGTAAAAAAAAGAAAAACAAATACTATTTTTAGCCTAAAATGGGCTTTCAGTGTGTTCCAGGGCGTTTGCGTGTGTTTTGGTGAGTTCCAGAGCAGAAAAAATAGGACATGCTGCATTTTTCCCATATGCTCTGGAACTGAACGCTCTGGTGTGAACTAGAGCCCAAATACCATTGGAATACATTGGACGAAGTTTTGAACCGTTCTGTAACTGCTCCGCGCTTGGTGTGAACTAGCCCTCAATCGTGTGCAGTTCCCGAGTGTGCATAAAACATGTGCAAAAAGATATTAGAATCAGTAATAAATGTCATGGTGGTGTAAAAAATAGTCCATAAAAGAAACATTTATAGCTGATTCTACTTGTGATGATACAGTGTTCAGATATAATCAGTAGGTGCTAACCACAATAAACAAGCTCTCCCTTAAGGATTAGCACTCACCAGATAGCGTTGACCATGTTACTAAGAATGGCCAAACAGCGTTTTAGATTAGAGGAATCATCCACAATGCTCCCTCAGACTTTCTTAGTTTTCCATTCTCATATCCAGTAAACTTGGTCTACAGATCAAGCCTTTGCCGGGCATCAGCAACTACAGAGGGATCCAAACAGAGAATGTGGTAATGTCAGCAGCCCCTCCCACTTGACGCGTTCTGTCACAAATACTCAGTAGAGGATACTGGATACAGGAGTGGATGTTTTTTGACCATCTTGTTGCAAATGTTTCGGGAATTGCAATATTTATGGCCGATTATGGATATAACAAAAACGTTTTTTGCTCATAGCTTATGCATATGTAATTTGAATATATATCCACACATACAGTGCTGTGCAAAAGATTTAGGCAGGTGTGAAATAGTGCTATGTGCAAAAACTGTGTGCAAGTGTCCTAGAAGAATTGATGCTGTTTTGAAGGCATAGGGTAGTCACACCAAATATTGATTTGATTTGGATTTCTCTTCTGTTCATTTATTTTCCATTTTGTTAATTGATCAAAAATAAACTATTGTCAGTTTTATTTCTGAAAGCATTCTCACTTTACAGCATTTTTATCACACCTGCCTAAAATTTTTGCACAGTACTGTATATAGTCAGGCGACTGCACTGACCAATGTGTGCTCACTATTTGCGAGCGAAATTCAAAATCCAGAGTGCAGGGCTGTGCTAGACGGCAGTACAGGGTATGGACAGTACACCCATACCGAAGGAGGGGAAGAAGCATTTGCCGAAAGACAAGTGGGGGGGGGGGATTGGAAGAGGGGGCCAGATTGGCAGGGGTAATTCAATTTTTCCAAATTCACCTGGGAAAATGGAATTACCCTTTAACCCATTAGTATGCAGTCATGCATACACTAGAAATAGAAAATATTCATATAAAATACATATACAAAATAAAAACAAAAAGTTTTTGCTAGATTTGTACACTAGCCCTATAATGCTTTATTGGTATATACAAAGATCTCCAAAGAAAGTGACAGCACTACATGGTACATGTGCAAAGACAGGTATTCAAGATGCATTATCTTCTACAGGTGAAACTCGAATAATTAGAATATCGTGCAAAAGTAATTGCAGTAATTGCTGCAAAAGGGGCCCAAACCAAGTATTGAGTACATATGCATGCTTGTACTTTTCAGAGGTCCGATATTGTTCTATGTACAATTCTTGTTTTATTGATTGCATGTAATAATCTACTTTTTTGAGGTTGTGGATTTGGGGTTCTTGGGGTTTTCATGAGCTGTAAGCCATAATCATCACAATTATGACAAATCACGGCTTGAATTATCTTGCTTTGCATGTAATGAGTCTATCTCATATATTAGTTTCACCTTTTAAGTTGCATTAGTGAAATAAATGAACTTTGCACCATATTCTAATTATTCGAGTTTCACCTGTATAGGGCCCTGGTCAGAGAAACAAACCCAATTAATTGGCCCATTCACAGTAGTGACAGTTTTCTGTGGGTTAACAAAAGTACGACACAATATGTGCCTGTGTTGACTGGCTTTTGCTCATATGAGCACTCTTTCCCTCCCCATAGATGTCCATGAAAATGCAAAAGCAGCTTGAAGTAGGTCAAATGTACTTGTCAATGAACTCTAAAGCATTTCAAACTGATGTTCAATGCAAAACGAAGGCACCTGGAAGCACCCTGGATTTGCCCATCGATACAAGCCCAAAGTGTGCTCCGGGTTCACAGTGATTGTGGCCATGGTGAAAGGTGGCACATGTTGACCAGTGGTTTTGATGTATTGTAATGCATTTGTGTGCTTTGTTTTGTTTTAGACAATGGCAAGCAATATCTGCAGTGACATCATTAGGCGTTTTCTTCCTTGTATTTGTTTCCTGCTTGTTCTGTGTTGGGTTGTGTAGTTGTGCTTTCTGAGCAAGCTCAAGTCATGACCGCTATGACATGATTGTCACAGCTTGTTTTGGCATATGGGCTGGTGGCTGCGGTGGGGGCTTTGTCTTGCATTGTTACAATGGTCTACTATCTCTATTGGTTTAAACTTTATTGAAATGTCAAAGTGACATTTAATTCATTTGTATTCACCACAGCTCACATGGGGTGAGGTACAGAAAAATGTAGCATTTCTGAAATTATTTGCACCAAACTACAAAGGCAGTGGCGTTTTTCAACAGGACACACAGAAAACAATTGTGCGAGGACCCTTCACAGCTTTCATGGACCTTTCTTCAGGCATGTGATGACATGACGCCATTTGCCTGAGGAAGACTCCCTACAAGGTCCCAAAACATTGCTTTTCTATTGGATCATAGCGCGTCAATGGGTGCACTGAATATTGGTAATAAAACATGGCTGAATCAAACACAGGTAGGTGTGACTGGACCCTAAAGACCCCTTTACAAGTCAGTGCTCCAATTACTGAATGCTGGGGCCCTCAGGCTGTACTTTAAACACCAAAGGGCCACATGTGGCCCTCAAACTGTAGGTTGGACACCAGGATTCTACTGCATCACTAACACAGCTCCTGCTCCCCACATAGGCTACAGCTATTACTAGGACCGATGTAAAGTATGCCAATAACGAGTCGTGACAGTGAGAAGTACCGCAGACGAAGAAATCCCTGACCTGAGACATGTCTGCAGAAAGATCTTTGCCCGATAACTCGCCACATCTCTGTAAACTCTTAGGATTCCACTCTTTGTCGCACAGGAAACTCGCCAACATTTTCCTGTCGCGGCACAGTGATGAAATTCCTATGAGGGCCAGTCAGGGCGGTGTTCTATCGAACAGCAGCCTCCTGACAGAGCAGTATCTGGTTGTCATGGGAGGAGCCGCTGTCCTAGGTGACAACCCCGGTTCTGCTGCGTTCACCTCGGCTGCCCAATAGGAGTCTCTAGTTGGATGACGAGTGGAGATTAGTGTGACCTGGAACGTTATGTTGTGTAGATAGGTGACGAAGTCTATTTACTACGCTGTAATACAGAAAAGTGAAGTTTTAAAAGAAAAAAAACAAAACATTTCCGCACGATAGTGCTTGATGAGTCACGCGCCTTTTTTTCCCAGAGAACGGGACAAGCTAGACTTCCTGTTCCATGGGTCAAAGTAGTACTCTGTGATTGGTCGCCTGATAGCCACGCCCACCGTTCCCTAGCGCTGCCATTTCTCGTTCCTTCTAGCGAGTTAGCGGTGTTCTGTTCGCGTTTGTGAACCATGGAGGCGCAGCAGCTGCAAGAGTTGCGACAGTTTGTCCAGTTGTGTAAGAGCGACCCAGCTATCCTGCATCGACCAGAGCTGCAGTTCTTCACAGAATGGCTACTAAGGTAACGTTAGAGAGTCAGACGTTTCTGTGCATTTCCGCCTACAACAACACTGCACACCTGATCGCACGTTGTTCATGCTTCTGCTAAACGATTCAAGGACGTTGGTTTGACTCCTGAGTAGGCAATCGTTAGGTTTATATGGTGCACAAAAGCAGGCTCACCCAATTTTTCATTTTTGTCAGTTTTTCCCCCCCCCACAACTAGACAGAAAGTAGTAGTTTGTCTCCTACTTCACTGCAGATTAGATACAGATTATATCTCCACCAATGTATGCAAAAAATTTCCCACCTCTTCCTGTTCAAGACAGTTTGCTTTAACCTGTCAAGACGCTGGATACAGCTTCTGATAGGTTGCGCTATTAGGCCTCATTCACACTGCTTAGAGTCGGCCTGTACAAATCCGTGGGATGTGCACAGCCGTATCGGGCAGCTCCCAGGAAGGACAGGTGCTGTGTGTGATTTGTACGCTGCAGCCTGTTCTTCTCTATGGGATGATGCGGCCTGTACGCTCACCTGAACTGCACATCCGTGTGAGTGCGGCTATCCGTACTCATACGCACACACGATGGATCCTATCTGCGTCTGAGCACGGACACCTGCACCCGCATGAATGTGTATGGGCCGACTCTAAGCAGTGTAAAAGAGGCCTTGGTGTTGCAGGGAAGCTGGGGACTCAGGTGGGCTCTGCAGGGTGTCAAGCTGAGACCGCCAAAGACGCTGCACATCCCACCATATACCTTGCACACCCACCCTGCAGAGCCCACCACAGATCCTGCACAGAGACTCTAAGGTGGTCTGTGCAGGGTCCCTTTCCCTGCACATGTGCTGCTCCTCTTACCTGCAGTTTCCCAGCCTGCTTCCAGGACATGGCACTTCTTGCTGGAGCCGCCCGCAGCCTCTGTCGGCCGGGGCCGTGTCTCCTTCGGTGCCATCAGCATCTGTCTTCCCGCATCTGCTGAAGCTTCTTGGAGCCGGCTGGGCCGTGTCTTCCTGCAGCCGCCAAAGCTTCTTGGAGTGGCCCGCAGCCTCCGTCGGACGGGCCGTGACTCCCTGGGCCCCGGACACTCCTCCTCGTACACCCGGCAGCACGCTGCCAGGCCCCACTAGCAGCCACCTGATTAGGCAGCCGAGGCTGCTTGATCTTGTGCACCCGTCCCCAGGTTTCCTCTTTGCGGGGGGGGGGGAAAAGTGCCGCTCCAGGCAAACGCTTTGTTTGCCTCACGGTAAATACGCCCCTGGTTGGAACTAGATACAAACTATAGTTTACATGCCTGTTATTAAAGAAGTAGAGCATGCATGGTATCATGCGCTAGGTGTGTGCATTGCAGCACATTGGAACGCATGGTACTGCAGTACTGTGTGGTGAAAAAAAATGCAGTACTACGCATTGTGCTGCAATGCTCAGCCGCTGGGAAGCATGTTGGGGCACCATTCAAAAGAATAGCAAAGCACCTAGCACACGGTAACATCCACTTGGTGTTGTGTGCGATAGTGTATGCAAAGGGCACGTTAGCATGTATTTAGGGCAGCACTATGGCTGTTCCATACTAAGACTGAGAGCTGCATGATCACATGACCACTGATCAGTCAGCTCTCCATCTCTCCTAGCAGATAGCAGTGATTGTCAGCCAGAGCCCATTGCAGGGATTGTTCCTCCCCTCTCTGTTCCTACAGCATTTACTGGAGCTACAGACAGAGGAGGGGGTGGGTACGCCTGGCTTCTTGACTGCAGTGCGACTGTGCCCTGCCACTTGATAGTAAGCTTTTGCCTCCTATCAGCTGACTTTGGGTCACAGGAAAGAGAAGTAAAGGCAAAATAAAAGCTGCAAAAGAAAACACATTTCTGATCGAAGCAAAGCTGTATAGTTGTCAATGGGTACGTGCAAACAGATGTGTGCACATGTGCTGCATTCAGATCTGTAACAAAAAAAATTAAAAATCTGAGTCCATAAATTTCAGACATCAATGGTGTAGATAATGTATTGTATGTAAAGCACAGCGTACAAAGTGCTGCAGTCTGGTGTATGCAGTGCCTAGCACACTATATACAGATTGAAATGGTTCAGAGTATGTAATATACAGCAGAGCATACAGAATGCTTTGGCCTGGACTGTGTAACATGAAGTGGTATGTATAGAGTGCCCTGCTCTGATGCAAATGACTTACAAAGCAGTTTACTTTGTGCAGTGATATGCAGAAATTAAGGTCTCCTTGTTGGTCACATTCAACTGGACTGTAATAGTAAATATTCAATGGCTTTTTCAGTTCTTGTGGTTGTCAGGTTCATACCCCAACATTTATATCCACACATGTACTTAGTCATCTTAATCTACTCGCCATGGGAATGTGTTAAGACAGATGCTGATTGGCCAAGAACAAGATGGGAATTGTAATGGTTTCTGAGACCATCCTGGTTTCATACATTATACAATCACCATGCTGCTATATTCTGTGGCAAATGGTAATCCTTCAATTCACATGGCTGAAGGTGTTGTCAATTGGTTAGGGTAGAGACAAAGGCTGATTTACTAGAGAAGTTGAAAATCTTCACTAAAAAAAAGAGTGAAAATGAAGATTTACTGCTGAGACCTGAACACTTTGTACACCCCAAATAAAGTTATAGAAAAGCTCCCCCATCAGACAAGTCACACCACACTAGCCCATGTGCTACAATGGAGCAGTTTAGCAGGCAGGCTAGTGTGAACCTAGTCTAAAGCTGGCCATACACTGCTTCAATTTTCGAAAGAACGTTTGTACAAAAGAACATTCATTTGACTTTCTATTAGTTGACGGGGTCAAATCGACGATCGATTTCGAGCCTAGGGAAGCAAAAAGTCAAAGGAGCAGGATGGAAATGTTTTTCTTAACAGACAGCATTCTATCTGTGAATGTGATTTTTTGAAACTCCATTAATTCCAAAATCCAATGTTAAAATCGAACCATTTTAATCGCCATTCGTCAAGTGTCTGATGGCATTATCCGGTGGTAAAGAAATATCTTTCCTTCGAACATTCCTTCAGAAATCTACTAGTGTATGGCATGCTTTAATCTAGGGCTGCAGCTAACGATTATTTTCATAATCGATTAGTTGGCCGATTATTAAGATCGGTTAATCGGATTTAAAAAAAAAGGCTCCAGTGATTGACGACTAGTTTGTGTTAAGATTGTAGTCCATCACGGGAGCAAGCTTGGCGCGGTGGAAGTAAAAAAAAAAAGTGTGGTGTGCAATATAGTACATTATACAGCGGCGCAGTGCAGAATACCAGCAGCTATAGAGGAATGTAGAAATAGTACATTATACTATAATGTACTATTGCTGGGATTTGTAGTCCTCTGTAGCTGGCGTTATTCTGCATTGCGCTGTATATAATGTATTATTGATGGGATTTGTAGTCCTCTATAGAAGGTTCCATCTATCCTCTAAGAAG